AACACTGAACTCTTGATAATAACACTGAACTCTTGATAATAACATTGCACTAAGCCACATATGTGACACCTAATACATTTATTGCTGCTCCACTATGTGGATGTATCATGTATGTCACTAACTTACCATCATAATTCATTTAATCTCAATGTTACTCACTACCCGTGCAATAACCTGTCACACAACCAGTGTAGTTTATGTTATGTGCATTATATATATATCATGTGTGTTTAAGCAATATTACCACCTGTGAAATACTTTTTAATACTAATTCATCCTACTTGCACTACTATATTCTACCATGTTGTTTACTATATTTCTTTTGGACCTTGAACAATAACTCTCAACATTGTTCAGTTGTACCACATAAAATCAGTTCGAGGTCAGTAAGCACAACCAGAATTAATACATAAGATGCACCGGATTATACGGCTCATTGTCAATTTTTGAGAAAATTAAAGGATTTTAAGTGCGCCTTATAGTCCGAAAAATACGATAAACTAAACTACCAAAACATTTTGGACAATTTCATGCTCCCAACTTTGTGGGAACAGTTTGGGGGTGGCCTCTTCCTGCTCCGTGACTGTGCACAAAGCAAGGTCCTTAAAGACGTGGATGAGCAAGTCTGGTGGGGAAGAACTTGCCTGCACAGAGTCCTGACCTTAACTTGATAGAACACCTTTGGGATGAATTAAAGCGGAGACTGCGAGCCAGACCTTCTCATCCAACATCAGTGTCTTACCTCACTAATGCGCTTCTGGAAGAATGGTCAGAAATTCACTTAAACACACTTCTCAACCTTGTGGAAAGCCTTCCCAGAAGAGTTGAAGCTGCTATAGCTGCAAAGGGTGGGCCAACATCACATTAAACCCTTTGGATTAAGATTGGGATGTTGTTCGAGTTCCTGTGTGAATGGAGATGAGCAAATACTTTTTGCGACGTGGTGTCCATGTTGAGGATGAGGATGACTTCCAGCTACTGCCACACCACGTTTTAGCATTAACCATTGAGCAGCAGTTCAAACACGTCAGCCTGTGTATAGCATTGGTTGATTTCTGTCTCTTTTTTTTCAGAGGAATAAAATGAAGGAGAGAGAATATTCCAACATCAAATATCCCCAGATGACCAACTCGAGGTCCAAACACAGCGTGGCCTCCTCACGGTCCTCTTCTGTGTAAGCATGGCATGATGGGAAGATTTAAAATAAGTCAAATAGTTCCGTGATGAGACAAAACCTAAACGTTGACCAATATTTCTCTTTTTATTTGTGTTGTAGAATGACAAACGATGATTCTTCAAGTGTTTATGAGAATATAAACTTTAAAACTCCTCAGACGTCTTTTAGCAGCAACACCAGGAGGTAAAAGTGTCACTGTGGACGTCTGCCTCGCTCTTCTCTGCCTCGCTGTAAGTCTGTTTTTTTTAACTATAAATTATTTTGGTATTTTTCTGCCTGTTATAGAGTTTTTCAGAGCTTCTTGCCAAAGGCATTTATTGTTGTACTTTTTGAATCAATTGCTTTACAGTGACAAAAGCTGTTATTTGAACAGGTAAAATAGCTTCAGTGAGGAAAATAACTTATAAAGTGTCAGAAAAACATACTTTTTCTCTGAAGGAGCTTATCTGCTAGATTTAGATTTATTTTTCTTGCAAATAATATAGGTTTATGTTTTAAGTTTAAAATTATAGGATAGTCATGAAGTGCTGCAATAATATTAAAGAGGAGCTGAGCTTAAAAGAACAAAAAGATAGAAGTTAGTTTATAACAAGAGTCAGCCACAATTTTTACTACATAGATGTTTTTCTAATAGTAATTAATATCGAGCAGAATCAGCATGAGGGAGTCACAGCTTTGGTTTTGAACAAATTTGAACTTTAAACCTTGCTACATGTTTTAAAGGATGTGGAAAATAAATCCTGCAGACCGACAGGTCCAGTCATTTTTAGTTCATTTTAGTGTTGATAGTTAAAGCTCAGACTTGTTTATTTCCCTGTGGTTGGAATATCTGCATTCACAAAGTCAAAGTGTGAAGGACTGAACTGAAGTGATTTAGTTAATCAGTCTAAACTAATTTATCAGAAAAGACACGTTATTTCCACCTCAGAAAGTTCTGAGCTTATAGGTCATTTGTGTGGATTTGAACAGATTTTTAACAAGGTGTCCTGATCTTTTACTGGTGATTTTGCTAAATGTGAGTGGGAACACCCAGATCACACCTGGCACTTTATATGCTTTTTGAGATCCAATTGAAACTGTATGGTTCTGGCTGGTAGTGATCACAATTGATCATTTACTGTAATTTCTGGACTATAAGCTGCTTTTTCACACGCTTTGAACCCTGCGGTTTATACAATGATACGGCCAATTTATGGGCTTTTTTGTTTTTGACGGGCTATTGAGCTTTATGCCACCAAAACATTTAGCCTCATCACTCCCAGGCACTCGCATAGCTGCCCAATATCTCTCTTGGGGGGGACATAGACTCTGTGGTGACTCAATGAGATTACCTGTATAAATAAAGATTAACAAAACAATCTGACCAATGAAATTACCGAACAGGTGACAGTGGACCAACTAAACTTGGTTTCACTGGTCCACTGGGGAGGGATTTCTCTCCTCCCCTCCCTGGGGGCACAACCAAGTATTAAAATGGCACTTCGAGCTCGGTGAGAGGCTTGGATGACTAGCGGCGAGAAATATTTTACCAAAGCTGACCGCATGCGATCAGCAACTTTTGCTCAAGTCTGCCAGTCCTGACAGCGGAGGAGTGTAAAAATCATTTATCACCAACGGATTGCGAAAGGCAGCTGCGTGATGGAGGACTGTGCAGTGCGCAGGAGGAAGATGAAGATAGTGATCAATCACTTCCTGGTAGGCTACTCTATTTTAATTTTTTTTAACCCAGCCATGTTACAGGCACTGTTGAAAAAAAACCATTTACTGTGCATATTTGTGTATGTTACAGGTATGTAATTAATTAAAAGTTTTTAAAAATCTTTCTGTGTAAATATCTCATGTTACAACCTGGACACTCGCGGCTTAGAGACAAGTGCTACCTATATATGTACAATTAATATTATTATTGTTTGTTTTTATTGGGCGCGGCTTACATTCAGGTGCGTTCAATAGTCCAGAAATTACGGTAAATTCGTATCCCAAAAGGTTTTTGCAATTGAATATCTGCTACCTGCACTATATGCAAATACACACAGATAAAATATGTTATAAAGACACGTGCAGCAATTAGTGACTTCACAGTTTGTTGTTGGAGCAAAAACGGAATATTTGAACCTGTAAAAATCCAACCCAGGGAAACGAAGCGCTGTTTTACTCGGCGTCACCGTTGACATCCGCCCCGTGTTCAGTCAGGTGATTATTTTACAACAGAGCTGCTCAGACTGTGGTCCTGTGAGTGACAGCCGGCTCTAAAACAATCAGAACAAACCAAATGAAATTAAATAAATTCACTACGCTGTCCTGGTAATCCACTTTGATTAATGTTGTTGATATTTAAATTTTTTATTATTTAGAAGGATTCTGATAAACGGTTAAAAAAAAAATCTAAACTAAACCATAAAAAGTTGCGTCTTCAGAATCTTCCCAATATGGCTGATTAATTATCCTTAATCAGCGGACTGCTGGAGTGGTCTGAACCCAGCTCTGAGCAAACGCCAAAAAAGGAAAAAGCAATTTAAAAAGCAATGAAGTATAAGGCATAGTCTAACGGAAAATCAAGTCTCAGCTGTGGATTGTTCTGCAGCTGCCTCATCTAACCCGACTGTAGCCACCAAACTGGACTTGGTGTGTTTCAGACGTATCACTCTGCTCCAGTCTGCTAAAAATATGTGCCTGCTCTATTTTTGATTGAAGTTTGTCGAGCTGAACAGAGGAAGGCAGAGACGGAGCACCATGGACAATTCAGTCAGTTTTCAAAATAAAAGCCACCGGGTGGTGGACTGGGGTCAAGAGATCACCGGCTTACGTTATGACCTTATCCTGCAGGATTATGAAGCTCCACTGATCAGTTTACTCACTGACAAAAACTGAAATTTTGTTTTTAAAAAAAAGTTTGGTTTTTTTATATTAACTGGAGATTTTGCTTTCTGCGCCACTTTTAGATTATCGATCAGGTTAGATTACATCCTAGATCAGGTCAGATTAGATTGTAGATTAGTTGAGATTAGATTCCAGACCAGTTTGAGCATTTCGTAAGGGCTTTTCAAACTTTTGAGGTCATTGCAGTTTGTCTTTCTAAAGAGGTCAGCATATTTTAATAGCAAAAATTAGCATTTCATCTCATTATTTGTTTGTTTGTTTTCTTCACAGGAATAAAAGGTTGTCATTAGGCCTGTCGCAATAAACAATAAATCAATTAATCACATGATAAATGAAAATTATCATCATTTTCATTTATTGGCTTTATCGTTTCTTCGTGTCTCTCTTTCTGCTGAAGACACTGGATGACAAAAGTCTCAACTCTGGTGATCTTCACTGACCCCTGCTTTTCTCTTTAAAATCCATTTTAACTATCTAAAATCACGTTTTTGGGATCGTTAAAAACAGCTAGGCTGAGAAGCTAAGCTACCGCGGGGGAGCTTCAAAATTCACAGTTGAAACCCGTGCCTTCATCTAAAAAGTTTTTTTTCTCTGTAAAACGAAGCTGAGAACGTGTTCACTGATTTTTTTTTTAATTAAAAGCTTTGTGTGAAAAATGCTATGCTAAAGAGCTCAAACCGCATCGAGCGTCCGCCATTTTGAGAACCAAAGAGAGAGAGCCCATGTCACGTCAAGGGGTCTCCCTCCCATTTTTCTTAAAGAGAAACGCTGCTCGCTCCCTTACTATCCATCCTTTGGTTCAAACAGTCTTATACTGCCATCCAGTGATCGATAAAAGGCACTGCACGCAAAACAAATTTAAAAATTCTTCTTAAATTTGATAATAATTACTAATTATTGTTAAATTTCAAACGATATTATCGTTTATCGCAATAATTTTTGAGACAATTAGTCGCCCAGCAAAATTTGTTATCGTGACAGGCCTAGTTGTCATGTTTTATATCTATGATATTATTAGAGTGTCTGCTTTTAGTGCAGAATCATAAATTGTGTCCTGGTTATAATAAGCAAGGCCCTGTCCTCACTCACCTGTCAGGAGGTGCCCCCCCCCCCCCCCCCCCCCCCCCCCCAGTCTTCTCTTTGCTAATGGTGTTTTAGCTTCATATCATTAAACTGCAGGACTTTATTGTCCATCATTCAAAGTGGCAGCTCCCATTAATTTATCTTGTCTGTTTCTCTGCGTGCAGCTTTCAGCAGAGGTGCATGTGAAACTCCCTTTGAGGGATGGGGGGAGTGTGGAGCTCTGAACTACACTCCACGTCAGTGGACCCCAGCTTGGCCCGAAGGTGGTGAACTGCCCCCCCTCCTCCTGCCGATGAACCTCTCAGTCTGGAGTCTGACCTTGTGTAAAGTAGAGGAATCCACAGCATGATGCCCCCCTCACACAACCCCCTCCTCTTTTGCTCAACCAGTTTAAGTGCCTTGTGACAAGATGTGTAATCCAGCCTGCCCAAGGCTGCAGCTTCATCTCTACTTCTGTTTCTTCATGAACCCTGGGAGCTCCGCTCACCTGACTGCTCATCGCTTCCTTTGGGGGACAGAAGCCCGAGTCTGCAATCTGCCCCGCCCTGGACTTTACCGAGCCATACATGACCTCGCAGAAGGTCAAAACTATTCAGCAACTTGTTGCCAGAAATCACTCTGCTGGTTATCCTTCTGTTCTGTGTCTGCCGGCTGTCGTCAGGACTCAAACTGTTTGTGCTGCTCTTCGTCTCTCCAGCTGTGGTTATTAATGTGGCTGCAGAGTGACGACAAGGGCACTTATGTAACCTCCTACAGGGTCCCGAGCCTCAGGAAGGGCAAGCAAGCCCCATTTGTTGAAAAGATTTTTTAAATTTTGGGTGTTAAAATGAACTATCTAATTATTAGTATTATTATTTAGAGATATGACTGTTATAAAAGGGTAGTTGTATGTAATCCCCTCTGCTGTTATAATACAGTACAGGATTTGGACACTTTAAAATGCAGGGCTGTGAAAACATATCTCACCCCCCCCCCCCCCCCCCCCCCCCTTCACATTTCAGACCAGCAAACAAATGTTAATATCAGACAAAAAGCTTTAAAGTTAAAGGCAGTTTTCAAATGAGCAAGAAGAGCAATTACCATATTTTTTTGCCCTATAAGTCGCGGGTTTTTTTTCATATTACGTCATACGTATTTATGATTTTTCCCATATTTAAACCAATTTTTGGCTGAGATGTGACCATTTTCATTCATTCTGCAAAATATGGAACACTACCATTTTCAGCAGCTAGATGGCACTCAAGTAATATGGTATGCCATTGTGTCATGCAATAGGTAAAAGTGGCTATTAATGACACAATTGGCTTGCTATAGCCTGCCACCGTCGTCTGCCTGGAACAACCGTCAAATCAACTTAACACTGCACCACCCCGGCGAAATACAGCTGATTTGACCATTGAAGTGCATTTATTAAGGAAGAGTTGGACTGAGACACACCTTTTGATATAATTTCAAGCAAACAAATAATTGTTTTTAAGTGTTAATCTTGTTAAATTCTTGTTAAAATCCTCCCGTGCACGCTCCTGCGTTCGCCATTTGGCAGCCCATCGATTTTGGGCACAACACCGACCCACATTTCCGGGTTGTCAGTGGTGACGCATAATAGATGCAACTTATACGTGCGAAGCGACGTATTTACGGATTTTTCCACTTTATTAGACATATTTGGACCCATGCGACCTATAGGGCGGTGCGATGTGTATGGCGGAAAATACGGTATTTATTTCAAACAGGGCCAGGATAGCTTTTTTCCCCACCTTTATTTGAAAACTGTAATTTGCTTTTATTCAGGTTATCTTTGATATTAGAATATGTTTGCAGCTCTGAAACATTTGTGACAAAAAAAAAAGCAAAGAAACTTAAATCTGTAACTGGTGGTTAAAAGAAGGAACTTTTCTGTGCTGGTTTCTGGTCTCTAAAGGTCCAACTGAGAACAAACTAATTTAAACATTTATTTCTCTATTATTTTATTGTGTATGATATTGGTATTATGGTTATGTAACATGATTATGAAATAGTTTATTTAAATATATTCAGTATATTTATATGCATCCTGTTTAAGCACACCTATTGAAGCAGCTTACCAAGCACTCATTTTGATGTAGACTATAAAAGTCGTTTAAATTCTGTTTGACTACAAATTTCTTGGAGAGGGAAGCTGAACGGACCACGGGAGTTGCGTCTGGCTCACAGTCATCGTCGCTTTAGACTCGCTGTCCTCGCGGAGCTGCAAGTCTGATGTGGTTTAGCATCTGTCAGATGAGATTGTCGCAAGAAGACAAGGGGTAGATTATAGTGTGCCAGATGGCCAACTGCCCGAGATTAAAGAATAGATTCGTCTCCAAAAAGTAATTTAAAAGATGGCCATAATCCAGGTTTGACGATAGCAGGGTGAGTAAAATGACGTCATTCGTGTGGTAAGTGGTGTCGTGGTGCAGTGAGTCCAACTGGTGCCTATTTTTAGAAGCAGCACCAAAATAACCTGCATCAACCGAGCACTGTTCAGCCACAACAATTGAACCAAATCAGATTTCCACCAATAAAATGCTTGGAAAACAGTGTCCTTACTGAGATGTACCACCAAGTTGAAGATTGTTCTAAAGACCCAACACCCCCCTCACCGTGGCAACAGCACCCCCCAATGACAATGGCATACCAGCACAGTTACCCCTCAGGAACGACATGAAAAACCCAGCGCTTGAACATACAGGTGTAAATCTAAAAAAATGTTCAATTTTGTACAGAAAGTGAAACTCGTATAGATATAGAGTAGAATATTTCAAGCCTTTATTTCTTGTTATTTTCATGATTATGGCTTAGAAATATTGAAAAAAATGAATTTCAGCATCTCAAAAAAAAAATTACGTTTTTTTTTAGGATGTGCTGATTTTTTTTAGATGCACGTGTAGACCAGTTTGATCACCTGCAGAACCCAAACCGTCGAGCTAAATCTGTGGCAAGTCTGGAACAAGTTGGTTTAAAAACCAGTGCTGTAATAAGAGCATTTTAAAGTAATGTTTTTTGTCCTTTTTAAAAGTTTTAACCTATCAAAATAAACCACAGCGTTTAGAGGCGTTTGCGTTTGGACTAGTCTTCCTTCAACCGGAACAACCGGGTCAAGGTCGCACAGAAAGTGTGTCACCGTCTCTTCCTGCAGGCGTGGACTAGAGTTCATATGAAATAAAATTTAAAACCATCAAGCCCATACAGTGCTGCACGGAAATAATTATTCAAACTTTATTTAATCCTGTTGAATGTAACCTGCAGCCGCCATATCTTACTGTGAGACAACATGGTTCTTTTTTTTTTGTTTGTTTTCACTTGTCTCAAAGTTTTGAGGCTTTTTCTAATCTAAATTATTGCTTTGACTCTTATTTTGTTGTGAATAAAAGCTCTGATGTGTGAACTGAACGCCTGCTGTTAAAATGCTGCACTACTTGTTCTTCAGTCTCATTTGAACGTTAGAAATGTTTGAATTATTTTTGTCGTTTTCTTTCATGAATGGGAAACGATTTGTGGATTTTTTTTCCAATTCTGATCATTCGCTGTGGATAATTTAGATTTTAATTTCCTTCTCTTTCTAATGTATTTGACTTTGTCTCCGTGGCTCTGTTGTTTATAATTTGGAGAAACGTTAGTACTTGAAAGTGTGAAACTGCAGAACATTTTGCCTCCAGCTGCATGGATGTCCTTTAGCTGTGGAAGTATTTTTGATTGTGCTTTAGATTTTTGCTGTTGAGGTATTTTTCTTTGATTTCATGTCCTTTAAATTGATTTATTCCTCCTTGTAATTTCACTGTTGATGGGTATTGACGAGTAAATCCTGAATCTGCAGAGGTATGCAGTTGTAACATTTATTTCTGCTGGTTTTACTTCTACTTGAACACGCTGAAGCAGTTTTGATTCCCTCTCCCTGCTGGTGGCAGTAAGCCTGAAGTGAGTGGTGATATTCAAATTGTTTTCCAGTTTCATCGTCTTCTTGCACTGGCTCCACCCAAACGCCTTTTTTTAAACATCTGCTGATGCAACGAGCTGCCAGAAATGGCACTGAAATGGATCATCATCAAATAGATGAATAAAAATCTATGATGGCACATTGAGAAGCTACAGTCTGATGTTGTTGCTTGTAAATCAGTTGTAGTTCTTTAACTCTGGCAAAACCTCTTGGTGTGAACTTTCTGTATTTGATTGTTTTGCCTCCAGCTGAAAGAGAAATCACAGAGAGCACAGGTATGAACTTTGTTTTCTTTTCTTTTTACTGAGGTTTTCTTTTGAATGCACAGAATTTGTTCTGCACAAACTGCAGTGGCAGAAAATAAGCATTTGTCTAAAATCATTACTGAAGAGCAAAAAAAGCATGTTTCAGAAAACAGGCTCAACATGTGTGAACTGCTTTATTTTTCTTTTAATTACCGTACTTGCCACCATATAAGTCGCATCAGTCCAAATATGTTTAAAAAAGTGGAAAAAAACATAAATATGTCGCTTCGCCGTATAAGTCGCATCTATTATGCATCACCACTGACCACCCGGAAGGTGAGCCGGTGTTGTGCCAGAAATCAAATGGCAGCTGCGGGAGCGTGCACGGGAGGACTTTAACAAGAATTTAACAAGATTAACACTTAAAAACAATTATTTGTTTGCTCTAAATTATAGCAAAGATGCGTCTCAGTTTAACTTTTCCTTAATGCACTATATGCACTACATTGGTCAAATCAGCTGCATTTCAAAAATCGATTTGCGGCTGCTGGAGTGCACAGAGGGAGGACTCGCTGTGCATTTCTTCAAAATTTAACAAGATAACCACCTAAAAACAATTACCATGTTTTTCGGCCTATAAGTCGCTTTTTTTTTTTCTTTTTTTTTTTTTGCATAATTTACATGCCCTGCAACTTATAGGCTGAAGCAACGTATTTATGGATTTTCCCCATATTTATAAACCAATGTTTGGCTGACCTATGATAGTTTTCATTGACAGAAATTTTTTTTTGAACAGTACCGCTTTCAGCCACTTGATGGCAGAAGTCGCAGTAAGGCATGCCGTTGTATCAAAAGGTAAACATAGCTATAACGACAAGCTCAAAAAAGTTCAAGGCAAAAACGGCTGGACTTAATTTATTATACTTTATAGTTTTTTTTCTTGAACTTTTTTGAATTTACCATGTCCTGGATGACTGAGAATCTTCACCAGCTTTTAATGACACAATCGGCTTGCCATATTCTCCCACATTTGTTCTGCTCCTTGCTTGGAACAAGTTAAACCAGCTGCACTGCTCCAGCAAAATGCAGCTAATTTGACCATTAAAGTGCATTTATTAAGCAAACGTTAGACTGAGACACATTTACTATAATTTTGAGCAAACAAATAATTGTTTTTAAATGGTAATCTTGTTAAATTCTTGTTAAAGTCCTCTCCTGTGGCCATCTTTTGGCAGTCCATCAATTTCTGGCACAACACCGGCCCACATTTCCGGGTTGTCAGAGGTGACGCTCGTGTAACAAACGCGACACGTCAGCGGTGACGCATAACAGATGCGACGTATACGGCAAAGCGACATAACTATGGATTTTTCCACTTTATTAGACAAATATGGACTGATGCGACTTACGGGGCAGTGCGACGTGTACGGCGGAAAATACAGTATTTGTTTGCTCTACATTATAGTAAAGGTGTGTCTCAGTTGAGTTTTATTTAATAAATTCACTTTAATCATCGAATCTACTGCATTTCACGTGGGTGGCACAGTGAAATCTATCTATCAGGTCTCTCTTATAAATGAGTCCTCGATGCTCAATGGGATTTACCTGTCTAAATAAAGTTGAATAAAAAAAATGCAGCTGATTTGACGCTTGCTCCAGGAGCTCCAGGAGCTCCGGAGCGAGACAAAGGTGTCTTTGTATGGCAAGCCAAGTGTCTCATTAATAGCCAGATTTTGCTATTAATGAGACACTTGGTTTGCCAAATTGGTCGAGGGGCCTCTAGAGGCTGAAAAGTGTTAAATATTTTCCATGTCAGAATGAATGAAATGGTCAGATCTCAGCCATAAATGGGGTTATAAATATGGGGAAGAAAGGTATATTAGTCACTTCGCTGCATAAATCGCAGGGCCTGCAAATTTATGCAAAAAGTTTGCGACTTATACGACGAAAAGTACGGTAGCTTAAAGATGGTTTGCATTGCATGTTCCAGATCAAACACGATTTAAGATGAGTAAAACTCAGTTGTTTCATTATAAGAACATTCTATCTTTGTTTAAGGTTTATTTGACTTGCGCTCAAAAGAAAACAGTTTATTCTTCCATTATTATGATGCAGAAATATAGACTTTCAATTTGAAAAAGGTTAGTCTAAGCAAAAAAAAATGAATATTTCTCTTTAAGTTTTTTTTTTTTAAACGGGTCGTTTTGTAGCTGCGTTTGCTTTCATCTTGGTTAATATTTAACTGCGTTTCCCGGCAGTGCAAAGGACTTTAAGGAAGTTATACATTTATGGCAGCATTGACATAAAAGCCTAAATTTAAAGTCAATCTTATCAAGAGGATATAATAGCTGAGCAAATTGGGAAATCCCACAGCCTAAGTTTTTCTCTTTGTGACCAACCTCATCCCAGAATAAATAAATACGACTTCCTGTCCAGGCAAAGGAAACATTGACTCTTATACCTCCAGGTTAAAGATTTATGTTGGGAGGAAACGGCAGGCTCAGACCACACCTTTGCTTTGTGTGTTTAGAAAAAACATTTATTTTAGAGTAGTAAATTTGCTCCTCAGTTGAAGATTAGCTTGATTCTACACTATTTTCTTATGTTGAGAGAAAAAAAACGAATTCAATGTTTTGACATAATTTGTGTTATACTTTACTTTCAGTCTCACTTTTGTAAACAAATGCTTAAAAAAGGCCAATCAAAGGTACAGCACATGTTCAACGTTTACAGTCAACTGGTGATGATGGGGGGGATGTTCACGTTTCATTAATATCCCAGTAAATGTCACAAAGCTCGTCTGTTTGGTTTGGACACAACGGAAACTTTATGCATCGCTGCTGAATGTTCAGTAGACATTTGCAACAAATCAACCTGCAGCTCAGACCATCAAACCTGTTAAACATCATCTGGTTCAAAAACGTATCCGTTACTGCTTTTTGACGTCTCTCGACTCCTTTACTTTTGTCATTTATAACTGCTAATGCATGATTTCATAGAAATCCAATAATACCATTAAGGTTTGGCTGAGTGGTGGGAAGAAAAAACAACATTGGCTTTGAAATTTTGAATTTTAAATCTTAAGGTTTTCACATTTATGGTTGGAATAACCAGGTGCACCGATCCAAAGAGCAGTCATTAAGCAGAAAACGTAAAAAAATGTGTCTTTATGTACATTATTATCCAAGTCCTGTCAGTTTAGCTGATCATCCTTTCAGGCCAGTCCTGCTGGTAAAGGGAGTAAAAGTAGTGGTTGTGGTAGTGGAGATTTGCTGTTGATCCTTCATACAGCGCAGGTTTCCAGTGCTGAATACACACTGCAGGGGCCACAACACGACCAGGATGAGCAGCACCATGAGGATAATAAAGAGGACCATCCTCTTCCAGTCTGCCAGTCTGCCCAACAAGCCCAAGGTCCTGGACCTGGTCTGGACCGGAGTATCCGCTGACTTACTGGCCCCAATGTCGATGCAGACGCAGAAGGCCATGGGACTGTCAGGAGCGTCAGAGACGGCGTCATGTCTGGAGCTCTTATAGCACAGCTTTTCCCCCTCCAGCCACACTGGCTCCTCCTTCTGCTGGTGGCTGGGCAGCTTGCAGAGGACCTCACGGCTGGTGGCCAAGGCTGGGGGTCCCTCCTCGGGCAATGTGGTGGGGTGACGACAGAAGGGGCACGAGAGGCGTGCACTGCCACCTGTATCATCCTGGTCAGACAACGAGACTGCCATGAGGCGGGAAAGGCACTCCAGACAGAAGGTGTGCGTGCACTCCAGCAACTTGGGAGTTTTGAAGACGTTGTCATAGGTGTTGTAGCAGATGGAGCACTCCGGCTGGCTGGCCACTGATATCTTCTTTCGCACCTCTCCTGGCACCTCCTGAGGTGAGAGTTGTGTATGCCAAACCTGTTGGGTGTCCTGCTCCATCTTTAGAAATGTATACCTTCCTCCCTATTGTACAGACTCCTGAGAACTGCCTGGTTTTTTTTTTGTTGTTGTAATTTTCCTTTTGTTTTGTTGTTTTTTGTCCTCGTTCAGTTGTTTTCTGGATTGTCTAAAGAGAATGAATGAAAAGTAGAGGTTAACATTGCTCCAATGATTTCTTA